GAAACGCCTCTCTGTCTCACCACTTGGTTGTCATGGACGAGCTTGTGCGCCGGGACAAGAACCATCCCTCTGTGGTCATGTGGTCGGTAGCCAATGAGCCCGCCTCAGAGATGCCTCCTGCTGAATTTTATTTCAAGTGAGTACAGGTTATTTTTCTTTTGAGGTGTAAAGCTCCAATTATTGCCACCCTTCAAATAGTCATCACTAGCAACATGATGTTGGATTATTCCGTTTGTTTGAAAATGTAAATTCTGATGTTTATTCTACATCTCAAATATGTGCTTTATCACACTGAAGGTGTAACAGTAATAACTCTTAAAATCCTGGTAGAAAAGATCAGTTTGTCTGTAGCATCTGATATCCATCTGATAGCTGGTATGAGGGACAAAGCTAGTTAGGCATGAGTAACATAATGTAGTTTTTTAAAAAGTGGATTTTGTTTTACAAAAAAAAGCAAAAAACCCAAAAGGTGATCATGGAGCCCTAAGAAATTAAGTGAACAGAACTAATTCGAGCTGAAGTGATAAATTAATTTTTTTTTTAAAAGTAGAGTGCTGATTTTGCATAGTTCAGCCATTAGAAGGTGCAACTCTGCAACGTCCCTGTTGTTTGGAACCCCACAAACACAAAAACCAGCTGATCCAAGCAGAGTGTAGTATAAACAAGTCATGTTTGAGAGAGGAAAAAATGATCAAATAAATAAAAATTGGCTGATATTTTGGAATATCGGCTTTTTAATTTACTAAATATCATGTTGAGCTTAAATATTCTGTATCCTACTGGCCCTAATTGTAATGGCAACAAAATATAACAAACTAACATTTAAAACCAAACTAAATTGAGCATAAAACAACAAACAATTGAGCTAAAAAAAATTTTAAAAAAACAAGCAAAGAAGAACTTAGAGACAAACACTAATGTAATTATTAAGAAACAAACATTTATTTTAACCAAACAGAAATAAGACAACTAAATGTCCAACTAAGGAAGGAAATTTAACATTTAAAGTCAATAATTCCAGCCAATTCCCCATAATGTAGCAACACTTGGTATGTCCCAGACGGCATTTCCTGTATTTAGTACAACTGCATTTCAAGACACATCTTTTGCTGATTTGAGCCCAACATCAAATCACTTACTTTTTTTCTACCTCCTTACAGGACTTTGATTGAGCACACCAAAGCTCTGGACCAAACCCGACCTGTCACTTACGTCACAATCGCTGCAGCTGACATGGACAAAGGGGTGAGTTTCTTCATCCATAACACTAATTAAAAGGGAACGGGGATATAATTTGAGGGGGGAATTCAATTTTAAAACATCCTCGTATCCGTACAACATTAAAAAGTTTTTGCATCTCTGTGTGTGGAGTGAAGCTGTGGAACAGACTAAGTAAAGATATGAAGCAATGTCCAAGCATGGCGCAGTTTAAAAAGCGGTTTAAGGATATGGTTTTTACAGGGTACAGGGAAAAGGTAGAGATTTGATAGTGTGTTGTCTAATATTTTCATGTGTGTGCGGGTGCACGGGTATGTTGGTATGGGTGTATATATATATATTTGTAGGTTGTGTATCCTAGAGGTGTTAATGGGGTTATTGAAAATGTGTATATGTGCGTATGTGTATATACGTATGTATGGATAGATAGAAACATATATGTATATATATTTAAAAAAATAAATACACATGACATATAATGTAATTGCAAGGAGGTATTTCTGTAGTCTATTGATACTAGATAGTGGAAAAGGGGTGGGATTAAATAAGCTTATGCTTCTTCCTGCTCCTTTTTGAACATGAAAGTTATTTGGAGTTGTGGTTGCTCGTTTTCCTTTTGTTTGCTTTGTTCATTTGTCACTTTTTCAACATGTTCAAAATAAAGATTCAATCAATCAATGTCAACATCACATATTAAACAAAGTCTGCACATCCCTTTCTTTTTTCAGTTTCCAGACTTTTTATTTGACACATCGTTGATGATAATAGTGTAACAGAATTTGCTAAGTAGCACCTCTGTTATAATCATGTTAAAAGGTGAAGTTTGTACTAAGTGAAATGAATCACATTGAGTGCTTCAGGTCTGTGCCCTGCTCAAGATAGCAATTTAACTAAGTTAGTTAATTAACACCAGATGAGCAGCTCACAAAACCCATGTTGATTTTTCTTTTTAAGTCCTAATAAGTCATAGTAAGTAAATTTAGTCAACTGAGTATAGAATAATAATCCTTTATTTGTCCCACAAGGGGAAATGTGGGTGTAACAGCAGCAAGAAAGACACATATACAAACAAACAGTACACAAGAGACAGAACAGAAACAAACACAATTTTTACATATTTACATCAAGGACAAGGACATATGAACAAGGAGTATGTTTCACCCTCTTTGGAATATTATTGTTTACATCCATTTCCTCAGTTTTGTCTGTATTGATCTTATACGCTGAGTAAAGACGAAATTCAGAGATAAAATTCTTCAATAGAGATAATGACGAGTGTGGTTCTGTTAGTATATTAAAACATCATCTGCATACAATAAGATTATATGTGCTTCGTCTTGACTCCTATGATGCGGTTGTTATCCTAACCTGAGAGTGGAGTTCTGATACCACGATTCACCTAGGCAATGAAGAGATGAAGAGCAGAGCCTCCAGTTTAATGCAGTGGACCGAGGAACATTAATGCATGTCAGTGTGGGGCATGGTGTTTATTTTAAAACAGAAGCGGCATGCACTCATTTACCCAACTTGAAACTGGTTGATAAAAAGCACCTTACAGATTTTATTATTTAAAGGGTAATTGCAAGAAAATTGTGTCATAAATATTTAATAAATAATTGTAAATCATAACCATGTTGAAGAATACTTCTGAATCCTTTTCTGGGTTATTTTTTTTCTCTAGGGTCCCTATGTAGATGTAGTGTGTGCAAACAGTTACTTTGCCTGGTATTTTGATCAAGGCCGGTTGGATATCATTCCTCTTCAGCTGAGCACTCATTTTGAAAACTGGTACAGAAAGTACCAGAGACCCATCATCCAGAGTGAATATGGAGCAGATGCAGTTCCAGGGCTTCACATGGTAAGAATACACTCACTCACTAGCTCACTCCACTCACTCACAAGTCAGTTCTGCACCTTTAACAAGTCTTACTGTCACTCTTTAGGATCCACCCGTGATGTTCACTGAGGAGTACCAGAATGCTCTCCTGCAGAGCTACCATGATGTGTTCGACCAGAAGAGGAATCAGTATTTCATTGGTGAACTCATCTGGAACTTTGCAGACTTCATGACATCACAAGGTACTGCAGCTTCAAAATAAAGCAACCTGTAGAGCCCGAACTGCAGTTAAATACAACAATAGCTGAAGCTCTAGGGAAGCAGCCATTAGGTTAAAAACCAGAGCTTTATTTATTCAGCTTATTATATTCTGCACTGTGACAGTGTTCTTGTCAAACTGTGTTGTGTCTTCAGGAATCTATCGTGTGGTGGGGAACAAGAAGGGTATTTTCACCCGGCAAAGGCAGCCCAAGGCGGCAGCGTTCCTCTTGAGGAAGAGGTACTGGAGGCTGGCTAATGAGACGGGCAGACTGCTTCCTGACTGACTAAATAACTCTGATCACTCTGAAACTCTGATGGTAGCCAGTCTGGGAAATAGTCAACACTGTGTAAGCAGTATGCTGAACCAGTACTGTGATATTGTGTCTGAACAACATCTGTGTGTGTGTGTGTGTGTGTGTGTGTGTGTGTGTGTGTGTGTGTGTGTGTGTGTGTGTGTGTGTGTGTGTGTGTGTGTACATATTGATCTTAACTAATGAACTTTATAATACTTTATTCCAGCTGTAGGGAACATTTTATAGGTCTACAGTGATTGAAAATAGACTCTTGTGCCTTATCTATTGTGAAGTTCACCTTTTCTAATTAAAGCCTCAATTTAAAAAGGTCTGACGCAAATTATAAAATATAATATCATAAAACAGATTTTTTTAAACTGCAATAATTTGCAAATCTCATAAGCCTGCATTTTATTCATAATAGAACAAAGAAAACATATTTACTGTTTAAAGTGAAACATACAGAATTGAATGGCAGTAGCACATCTTGTAAAGAACCAATTGAATGCACCAACAAACAAACTACCTGAACAACCAGTGACTTAGCTCTCTCTCCCCCAAAGATACCAATGAATCTCTCTAAATAAATTACACTGTCAGATACGTCCCCTTCGAGCCCCCTACCAGGAAAGTTCAAACGAAATTAATGCCACTGGAAAGCAGGCTAAAACCCACTAAACCAGTCTGTTTTTAAAGAGGACAAGACCTCATTTTGTCATGAGTCAACCCAGAATTCAGACAAAAGGAGAGACCAAAAAGACCACAGAGTTTATAGGACCAAAATATATTTAATTAAACTGACTGAAAATTTTAGAACAAGTGTAGTGTAGTGGGTGCATGGATGCTTGTAAATTATAGCATATATGCAAGAAAATTGCTCAACCGAATGGGAAGAAGAGAGAGCAAAACTCTTTTACTTAGCAGGCTTCAGTTCTTTGTCAGTGTCCTGGGGAAAGACATGGGATGATTATCACCTATTGCCAATAGGAGGTGCCATAAGGGTGACCTGATACTGGCACATAGATGTCTCCAGACATGGACTCTAATCAATCATGTGAAGTGTGGGTAAGATGGGACAAAAGTTACTTAAGATTTATTTGAGATTTCATGTCCAGTGGGGAATGATCAAAATTCTGGCACACAGCTAGCTACAAAAAAGCCCTTTCACAAAAACTCAAAAGCTTCAGAGTTTAACATCGCCAAGGCTTAGATTCAACTCACCAAAGGTAGTGTTGATCCAATCCAGGAGGAGTTAAAGTACAAAGCCTGAAAATTGTGAAAATGCCAGAATTACACCTGACATTTAAAGTGGCTGACTTCCTGTTGGGTTTAAGATATGGCTCCAAGAGACTTTTTTGAAGTTGTCAGGACATTCCACAAGGCTGCTAAATTTCAGACACATGGATGAAATGTTACAGTATAAACACTTGTAACAGTTAACTACACATAACACTACATTTTAAAAATAATAATAATAATAATAATAATTTTGTAGGTGGCACTATGACCCATAAAACATGAAAGCCTTTATCAGTTTGGAGGCGTGTACCAGTTTTCATGACTTCTTCGGTTTTTCAAGCCCCTCGACAGCATCTTGTTTCTTTATGCTGAATTCCCACTGTTGAATGAGAAATCACACTGTTCATGATAAAGCACCATGAAGGTCTGAAGTTTATTCAGACTGCTTTTGAGGTGGATGTGGTCAGCCTGAGTGTAGCAGTACATCAGAGTATAAAACATAATTTTGTGTTGCCACTAGGTGGTGCTCTCACTATTGCTTGCTATTGATGTGTTCAGGTCAGGACTGGACAATCTGTCTGAGTTAAAGCAAGGTTGTGTTTCATTCGAAATATCAAAATTTGCACCAGGGTCACACCCTTTGTTAGAAACTGACTGTTTTCAAAATAAAGCAATACCAACTCCTTGAGGCTTTTCTGACCAAATTTTAGATAGCTCAGGTCAACCACCCAGTCCTCCGAAGTGTAAAACATGACAGTTTCTGTTGCCACTAGGTGGCGCTATGATTGTGATTTAATTTTTACATATGGATCTGTTATTAATTTTAATATGCATAACTCAATCTCTGTGTTACAAAATGTTAAGAGTTTGAGCATGTTTAGGTGCTCAAAGGGTGATTTATTTGATGAAATAGTGTGTATGTGTGTGTGTAAATGAAAATAAACACTTGACACTTTTGTAATGAATTTATTAAAGACAATCTACTCAACATGCAAACAGTATCTGATTTAATTATTTTCATTATATGCAGTGCAGTTCAAAAAAGACCACAGACACCTAAAAGGTTAAATGACGTATCGATCATGGATGGTGGCGTGACAGCAATCAGACAGTTCATTATCAGTGACTCAGGCTGTACCGTCATCACGTGGTTGACCTTTGAGTTCCAGCAGGACATTAAACATTTAAATTCGTTACACTAGCCTACCTGTCAGAGTTATTGCTGCAGACATTTTCCATTAAAATGTACTTTTCATAAAACAGAACTGTTTTGATTGCTTTTCACTTATTTCAGGCCTGTTTTTCCAAATATTTAAGGCTTTTTTTTTTTCAATTGGTCCAACTATGAGAGATGTTTACTTATCAGGTGTCATTAAACACTAATCTGCATCCGCGATTACACTGCTATTAAATTAATGAAATTCAGCTGGCGTGACTGAGACACATTGGAGATACTCTGTGCTCACACACTGTTACTAATGCTGTTATGTTCTGTGCTGGTTTATTTCATCTGCATTAATGATTCACTATTCACTAACCACACAAGAAAAAAATAGTAGTGGTCAGGCACGTAGTAATTTACAAAGAAATATCTGTGTTTTATAAGCTGTCACTTTTAGATCATGTACATCCTAGCCTTACATGTTACTGCATCTTGCTACAGTGTATTTTTACTCCTCTAACTCCCTTATTACCATTTGCATATCCTGGAGCTAACGGCAGCGTTTGTCCTAGATGTCGTTCTAGAGGCAGAACTAGTTCATCATCCAGGAGCTGTTGTGTGACCCTTTGTGTTCTATAAAGGCTACTGAAGACACAAAGTTTAAAGTTTACTCATAAACTTTCCTCTGTGGTTCTCTACATAAAATCTCAGTATTGGAAATCTTGTTTATCTAAAGTAATCAGTCATTTTCCATAAACCTGCTATTTTTTCAGTCATGGTGATCATCAAAAGGATATTCTAAATTAAAAATATATTAAAAGTTGAATGTGTCTCTTGTGTTTAATTCTGAAGGGTAAGTTTAGAATAAGGAATTCCTGACTGTGACATTAGACTAATGTCCAGTCTCCACCAACCACCCTCCTTTGCCACTTACAGACATTGAACAACCTCAACCAAACATGAAAATTCTGAGCTAGAGACTGTATAAATCTCTCAATACAACTTTGATAAAACATGAACAAAATGTTGCTTAAATCCATTGATAATATCAGATCCACAATGTATCACAATAACACTTATTTCACAAAGATAAACAAAACACAATACTTCTGTACTTCATTTTTAACTACATTTACAAACATCATAAAATTAACTCGTTTTTAAACATTTTAATTCTTGTTCAGCACTAAATTATTTATGTGAAATGTATTTCCACTGTACTGACAATGTAACTTCTGTTTTTTTACAGTTTTTTCTGAATGCTTAAACCCTAACTGTGATTCCTGTAGCACAATCTCTAAAACTATTCAGACTTATAGCAAAACCACTCACTGAGTTTGCAAAACTAAAAGCACAAAAACTGCTTTGCACTCAGTTTGCAATTTTGTAACACACACTTTGCAAAACTG